CGAGGTTTCTCCACAATTTCGTACTCAGATGGGCGACGGCTACGACTTTTTAGCGTCAGCACGGGATGGCGTAAGCATACAGCATGCGTTTAGCTTGACGAATCTCGTACCCGTAGTCGTACTCGTAGTCAAATCTAAAGTTCCCTAATGCCCCCCTCACTACGGGCGAATAGGCTTCCTTAAAGTACGAAAAACGACCAGGTCCAAGAGCGTTTATTAGATCATTGCGTATTCTGTAAATGTAACAAAACGATTGCGCTGCGAATTGCGTGCAATCTACATTCTTGGCTTCACTTGTACCAGCTAAGCAAATCTGGCTTATTGCATCACCATGACAACCCAATAATTACATAAACAACGTTCTTGATTTGTCAGTTGACCAACGCGTGTCATATACAAATGCTGCAGGACCAGCAGGATGCGAGACAATGGTTGGATAGCCTAGCCATGCCCATGTCGGTAAATACAAATATTCAACGTCGTCATTCTCTAAGTAACTGAGAATGCAGTGCGATGGCGTTGTTCCAAACCTTGGTTTCTTTTCTCCCAGAATTTCTATTCTTGACGCAGTAGAATTATATGCAACTGCATGTACCAAACACTTCACACTTATCGTTCGCTTTAACTTCCCTTCCTTCGTGTACACGAGTACGTCATTGTTAGCAGAGGGTTTCCTGGTAACCATAATTATTTCATTTTGGTCAGCAACGCATTCCAAAAGAATGAAGTCCCGCCCTAACTGAAAGGTAGAATAGTGCTCAAGCGATAAGCGAGATTTTAGATTGCCATTGCTCTCGCAGACATAAAGATAATCCTTACGACAGAAATGGATTATAACATCACTATCTTTATTCACCACTAGAGTGGCATAATGAGACTCGTCTCCAATGAAGTCTAACACATTCTCGCATTTCTCATCGCCACTTGAATCGAACACGAACAGAATATACATTTTCTCATTCCCAGTTTGGGACGAAAAGCGTACCATAACGTAAAGGTTATCATAACGATCGACGGCCAACGACACGATTCTTCGTTCATGATCTCCAAGGTTTGTTGTAGCTGGCTGAAGGTCACAAAACGATTTAAGTTCTCCTGATCTTTTTACAATAAATGCACGATTGTCCTCGCCCCAAAATAAAACTATAAGCTCTCCCTTGCTATTGATACAGCAACGCCGCATTATTTGTTTCTCTGAAGAGACATGATTTTCTGGCGGTTGAATTTCCTCATCGCGAAAAATTTGCTGGACGTCTTCAATGTTAAGAAGCAGTGGGTGGATCGTTTTGCCTCTAGTAGACAGGTGTATTCTGGGCAATTTTCGGACGTTAGGTAACTCACCAGAAAACTTCGCAACAAATTCTGATACAGCAAAGTTCAAAGAGAGTACAGATTTCATGTTCTCTAATCGTGCATCTTTGTAGAACTTGGATTTAAAATACGAGGAAAATGACGTGTATTTAAAATATGTGGAAAATGTTTCTCCAATGGCTGGCAGACAATGAAGCTCTTTCAAGAACAACATGCAACCAGACGTGGCTGCTTTTGTGTCCTGGAGACATTCTAAAATCTTGGATACGACGCGTATTTTTGCCGCCATGATTCCATCGGGTAATTTCAAGGCTTCGTTACAGAACGCTCGAGTCGCTTCTTCGCGTGCGGCTTTGAAGCATTCTTTTGCTGAAACAAGTCGATCATTTGATGCGTATTGAAGCTCTCGAATGGCGTTTGAGAGTGCAATGGCCTCGTTCAGATCTACAGAGTCGCTTTCGTTCCTTGTGGTTGTTGTCGCCGTTGTTGCTGTTGCCGTTGTTGTTGTTGCCGTTGTTGTTGTTGTTGTTGTTGTTGTTGTTGTTGTTGTTGTTGCCATTGTTGTTGTACTTCTGACATCTTCCTCCAAAGCGATAGTCAATAAATCTACACCTTCTTTCAGAAAACAATGACTTGCGAGTAAATCTTTCCGCGAAAGTCCATCGATTTTGGTCTTGATATCATCCAGATCTTCGACAATTGCATCTCGCCAATTCTCATCGGTAACATCTCCGTCTTTAAGTTTATCAGCCACCGCGTTTCGGACAACGCCAACCCCTTTATTCAATACTGAGCCCAAAGCAAAGGTTATAATACGAACAATTATTGGTAACATACTTGAATTAGACAATCAATTGATCAACAAACATATATATATGCATTGCTTGCAAGACTATATACTGCTCGAAGTTACAACAAACTATATCTAAATACGCATTACGTCATGTTATATATATAATTCTAGGATTTCCCGCCCCCAAGCGATTAGCACTCGAGGTTTAAACGCAAGGCTTTTTTAAGCGTTGAAAGGTATTTTTGGCAACTAGGTTTCAGCTAAAAAATTTTGAATGGGGGTTAATTTAACTGACAAAACGCATATGCAGTATCTAACTAACCAAAACAATATAAACTTGCAATTGGCTCCAATTTTAGCTGACAAATGACATTCCAAAATCCCTCTATAAGACCCTTGGCACCAACCAGAGAGTCAATGTAAATAAGGGCTTATAATAATCAAGATATAGATTCATAGATTCAGACTATTTCACATGCAATGTAATAGAGTCTCGATATATCTCTACAGTCAGTAAAGACCGACTTACATACAGCACACAAAAGACAAGATAGATTCAGACTATTTCACATGTAATGTAATAGAATTTTTATATATCTCTACAGTCAGCAAAGACTGATTTACATGCATACAGCACACAAAAGACAAGATAGATTCAGACTATTTCACATGTAATGTAATAGAATGTTAATATATCTCTACAGTCAGTAAAGACTGATTTACATACAGAACACAAAAGACAAGATAGATCCAGACTATTTCACATGTAATGTAATAGAATGTTAATATATCTCTACAGTCAGTAAAGACTGATTTACATACAGCACACAAAAGACAAGATAGATTCAGACTATTTCACATGTAACGTAATAGAATGTTAATATATCTCTACAGTCAGTAAAGACTGATTTACATACAGCATACAAAAGACAAGATAGATCCAGACTATTTCACATGTAATGTAATAGAATGTTAATATATCTCTACAGTCAGTAAAGACTGATTTACATACAGCATACAAAAGACAAGATAGATCCAGACTATTTCACATGTAATGTAATAGAATGTTAATATATCTCTACAGTCAGTAAAGACTGATTTACATACAGCATACAAAAGACAAGATAGATCCAGACTATTTCACATGTAATGTAATAGAATGTTAATATATCTCTACAGTCAGTAAAGACTGATTTACATACAGCATACAAAAGACAAGATAGATCCAGACTATTTCACATGTAATGTAATAGAATGTTAATATATCTCTACAGTCAGTAAAGACTGATTTACATACAGCATACAAAAGACAAGATAGATCCAGACTATTTCACATGTAATGTAATAGAATGTTAATATATCTCTACAGTCAGTAAAGACTGATTTACATACAGCATACAAAAGACAAGATAGATCCAGACTATTTCACATGTAATGTAATAGAATGTTAATATATCTCTACAGTCAGTAAAGACTGATTTACATACAGCATACAAAAGACAAGATAGATCCAGACTATTTCACATGTAATGTAATAGAATGTTAATATATCTCTACAGTCAGTAAAGACTGATTTACATACAGCATACAAAAGACAAGATAGATCCAGACTATTTCACATGTAATGTAATAGAATGTTAATATATCTCTACAGTCAGTAAAGACTGATTTACATACAGCATACAAAAGACAAGATAGATCCAGACTATTTCACATGTAATGTAATAGAATGTTAATATATCTCTACAGTCAGTAAAGATTGATTTACATACAGCATACAAAAGACAAGATAGATCCAGACTATTTCACATGTATAATGCACATAATGCTACCGAGTTATAGAATATAATAATATATAAAAAGATTAAATAGGCAAAGTAAATATTACGCTACAAAAGACAGATAAAGTAAATACCATTTCGAACTTGTGCAAAAATGTCAATTACCTTTTCATTATAGGCAAATAGGTTTAGATAAATAATACTTAAAACTGTCAAAGTTCGGATAAGGAACATAATAGGTGGTCAGATTTGTTTGGAAAACTTAAGTGCATGGTAAAAAGAATGTTTTGAAACCAAGTTAAAAACATCAAACATCAAGTCATTCATGTCTTGGAATGAATATCCTAATTACACTGGCGGTAAGGCCCAGTGTTAAGGTTCCCTAATTTTCTGTGCCAAAATTCTTCGGGTTTTTTCGTCAACGTGAAATCGACCTACGTTCATGAAGTGAACCGCGGGCTCAAGTCAAAATGGCCGCCAGGTAAGGAGCGGACTGACTG